TTTAGAATGTAAATCGCTTTGAGGGTTTGTAAAAACTGAATAAAGCGCTATATAAATTAATTCCATTTACCATCAAATGAGAGGGTGCATTAAAGTATAACAGTGTTTCCCACATAATTTGATTCTATTTGTGGGGGCACCCCCCGCCCCCCCCCCCGGCAAGAAAAGCCAAAGACCCCTTAACCTATTCGGGTGGCCCACACATCCACCCCCCCCTCAAATAAGAAGATACATGCGAGTTCATGGCTACTGTAGACAACGTTCTTGTTGCTCTGTGTTGCGTTGTTAATGAGTGAGACACACGGGAGTTCAGGATCTTTAGGGTTTATTCTCCCAAAAATATAATTTACAATTTAGGCATTTAGCAGACGCCTTATTCCAAAGCGACTTACAGGAACATTCTCCCTGGAGTAACTGAGGGCTAAGTGCCTTACTCAAGGGCACACTAGTAGTGGTGTTCCAGGCGGGATTTGAACTCGCAACCTTCCGATCATCAGCCCACCAAATAAATCAATGTATGGGAAACACTGGTATAAACAGGTCAACCTCAAAACAAGGTCAAAAGAGATGATTTCACCAAGCTGGTTTGCAAGTCATTTATGACCTGGTAGTGGTCTCCATGAGTGTAGAGGGCCTCCTGTTGGTGAGGAGCAGGCTTTCAGTTAGACAGCTGATCCCACGACTCAGAAGCCCATCAAGCTCCACGGTACACCTCGCCGTTTTTTTAAACAGGTGACTGCAGACTGTTATGGATATTGCTGCTACCGCCATGAAATATCTGAAAGCTAAAATGTGACTTTTATAGAGACTTAGCATTATGAAAAAGCTTTCAAAGTGTACAATTCTTCAGTGAGTCAGCAATCATAAAGTGAGTCATCTTTTTGTGTCCCAGCGTATGTAACACCTTGACAAACACAGCACAGTATCTAACCTGAATGCTAGTAACATCGGGTTCACCTTCTGTCTCCTTTTCATCAGGAGATCATAAGCTATTGGTGCAAGGGGGCATAGAAAGTTGAAGAGAAGGTAAAGAAGGAATCAATATTTTGGAAGAGAAAAGTAGAAGATACAGCAGAAACATAGCAACATAAAAGGCATAAGGATGGATAGAAGGAAAGAGGGAAAGTATGGGACTCCCTCCTCCTCTCTATTCCCCGCCATCTGGTAGCCATCAGCGCCTCACACAGGAAGGGGCGGCCATGCCTTGTTGGGGCGCCAGGGAGCGGCTCCTCTTCCCTCCCGTTGCTGCAGAAACAACAATCGGACAGTGCAGTGCAGTGCATCCTAGCCGAAGCTAAAACACCAGCAGCAGCAGCACCAGCACAGGTCCCGGCACTCACACTCCAGCAAGAAGGGCAAAGAGGAGCACAGAGCAGCCCTCACATTCCTGCCGTCTGCGCCTGCCAAGAAGCGCTGGGAACGGAAAGAAAGAGGCAGAGAACAGAGAGCTGCTCTCACTGGAAGCTGCCGAACGCTGCTGCTCTGAGAAGCACTCCAGGCTCTTTCTCATCGCCTTCTCCTCAACAATGAGGACTAAGTTATTGATTGCCATTGTGCAATATCCCAGCCTGTAGGTCACTGCATACATATGTGCAATCCTGCAACATTCAAATGGTTCCTCAGCAAGAATTCAGGGAATGCATCATACATTGAGCCAGAATTCTGTTTGTCTTTATTCCCAAAATATCCCTCACACCAATCTGATGGGAACACTCTTTCTGTCTGCTTAGTGTAGAGCATGGTCGGCCATCAGTGTTCTCGTACCAGCCCTGTTTCATGTCCAGAACCGGCTACAACTCAACACCCTAAATAGAAAGCACCCTTATGACACAAACTATTTTTGCTGCCTGCTGTCATTAGCTGAACAGTTCAAACATGAGAGACAATGAAAAGCAAATGTGAGACTTTTGATAGATGTCTATAACAATCATCCTGATCAATCACAAGAATTGAAACAATAAAAACAGATGATGTGTGTACGATTAGCCTTACCAAATAGTTGAGAGATTTCAGTCGCTTGCATTTAATAATAGCTGCACTTGAAACTGTTCGACTTGGCACACTGACAAATGGCACAAAACGATCATTTGACTACTCAGCAGAATTATATTCCAACAGAAAACACAATCGGTTCCCAAGTTTCAAACAGGAAAGCCAAGTCTGCATGAGAACCAGTTCTCTGCAGTCGCACCACGAGCTGCTGGCGGACTTGGCACACAGGACGGTAAACAGCTGCACCACGCATAAAGAGACACATCTGTTTACAAAATGCTCCATGTCAGCCTTGACCTACCAGCTCTGTCCAACAATCTCAGTGCTCCACTAAGGCAACAGGCTGCGTTTCAAAAAAGGATATCATAACATAATACACACATTGTTCAGGGAATTGTGCTTAATCTGCACGTGGCGCCACTCACGAGGCGTGTGTTGGTGACTTGATTTGTATCTACCAGTGTGCTTCCAAATATATTTCAGCCATTAGCATAATCAGTTTGTTCTGCACTTATACCCCTGGGCTAATTTCTTTTTTACCCCCCCCCCCCCTCAAGTAATGCATCATTTAGCTGAAAATAGAATCACTCATCTGCATTCTTTTCAAAAGAAAGGAGGATGTTAAAACAGTGTTAAAGCAGTGAATAAATCATCTTCAAGTGTATGTTGACACTGTTGGGGTGTGCTGGTATAAACAATGGTTTATTGCACTTAAATAGCAGCTTTATTTCTCAAGAATCCCTCTGTTGTGCATGGAAGGTTCTTGTTTACAGAACATCGTAAGAAGATCTACTGTGAAGTGAAACTGAAATAAAAGTTGGATCTGACACAGGGATAAGCTCAATGTGTTTCTGTGCCTTACAAACTATCAGCCTTGTTGTGATTCAGACGACTACATGGTCCTCCTCACAAATGCTGCTGCTGCTGCTGCTGCTGCTGCTGCTGCTGCTGCACACTGGTGAGCGTGTGGCAACAGAGACCGCAGGGAGACAAAGTCACCAGGGGAGAGGTGTTAAAGAAAAGATCATCAAAAGGATTTACACATGCGTGCAAATGCCTAATACGCTTTCATACATCTCAATCATTGTCAAAAGGGAGACCATGGTCCTCAGCCCCATTTCCACTCCCATAGGTTGCCAGTAATAAGGATAAAAAATGCTCCACTCGTTATGTTATTTAAATAGGCTTGTATATAGTGTGATGTTTGCCCATGTGATCAGTTTGGATTACTTATGAAGCTCCACAGACATAATTGAATAATGAATATCCATTTTTGTTTTTGAATATATAAATCACAGATTAATAAATCGCCTACAGGAGTAACCCAAAAGACAAATACCACTGTGTGTTTATGTATGGTACTTGTCCAAATGCATTTTATTGTTCCACATAGATTTGTGGAATGCTTGAAATGATGAGAGAGACAATGAGATATCTTAAATAGATACAGTTGGTGGTAGATCGTTTCCTCGTTAGGTGATTAGAGTGGTATGTGTAATTGTTTACACTGGTGACAAACGTTTTTTTAACATGTCACAAAAATACTTTGCACTGCCAATTTTCAGAGGGCTTACTGGCTGCTTTGTTTTTGCGGCTGTGTTTTTGTGATGCAACAGCATAATTTCAGGCTTACTACCCTCTAAAGATATCCTGAAGAAAAAAGATCATAATCATGTTTACTTCTATTGTGTTTAAATAAATAAAAACAGCCTAAACAACACTTCGGGTTCAGAAATGATTTCAAAACATACTCTGTCACCATCGGTCAAAGTTCTGTCGATAAAATGATTACTTTGAGAAACGGTTGTTTGTTGTTTCCACTTGATAGTGAGTTCTTACAGCCTTGAAGCCATGCTGGTTAGCAGTTTGGCTACGAGGCAACTGATACACCTCTGTATGGCGATAGTCTGCGTCTGGGACAAAAGTGGCCCGGTCAGGATAACTATTGTAGTAGCACAGATATTAATATTTAATGGTTATTTGTTTGTAATGGACAATAAATAATTAATGGCACATGCAATCCATTTTCAAGCTGTGGCAGATCACACAGCAGTCTGATCGCTCCAAATGGAGAGCCGAGTCTTCGTGGCGTCCCGTACGTGGCCCAGTCATTTGTCTTTGTTAGCCTAAGAGGCTAATGCTGCACAAGCACCCCTCTGTTGCATCCTGTTCAGTTTGCTTGTTTGTTTGTTTCGTCAAGCATGTGGGGAGGGGGTTTAACAGAAAGTGAGTGTTTGTTCTCTGTTCCACTTGCTAAGCAGATTTAATGAATCCTCTACTTAATCAAAGAGCTTTGGCTTTGTTTCCGTTATGCCGCCTCGTCACATACGTTGCGTACATATTTCTCTTTACTTTGCAAATGACGGTAGTTTCCCATCAGCCACAGACAGGAGTAATGGCTTGTGGCCAGAGTGGTGTGTACTGTACATGCTTTTCCCCTCAGCTGAGAGGACTTAAGACCAGCATGCAGCATGTCCTCGGTCTCGCTGTACAGCCATCAGAGGGACCTTTAGAGTTCAATATTTTCCTTCTTCCGGTCTACCCAGAAGCCTTTGGTCCAGCAGTGAGGCCCTATTAGGGGGCTAGACGAAGTGTACAACTGTATCCTTATCTGTTCCGTGGGTAAATGACAATAGACTACACAGACTATAATGGTTAAGGAAATAAATGAGGAATTCTCCAGGCAATTCAAAACATAAGCATTCGTTGTCATTGTGTTGCAGGCTTGTTTGTAATGAACTAACGTGGAGAATAAACGCAGGACCAAATAAAAGCATGTCGATAGGATGAATGGGAATTTCAGATTTTCGGTGTACCTCTTAAAAAGCAGCTGAAGAAGAACACTTGTAAACATACTGACTTTAGCAAAATTGCTTTGCCTGTAGGCCCCCTTTAAATGTACTGTAAGTTTCTGGTTTAGATGTCTTTGATTACTTTGTAATGCTGCCGCCAAGCGTGCTCTGTGTCTCGTTATAACAAGAAGATGCTCTCATTATAAAGAGATACTGACGTGTAATTTTGGTCCATGGTAGATATACCATAAAACGGCCTGTTTCAGTTTTCTTCTAAATAGCGAATCATCTCTCTATTCAAATAATAATTTCATGAGGCAAAGAGCTGTCACATGCACACTATCTTTAACAGAGTGGTGCTGAAAACCACTTCATCCCTGCAGGTCCTAATGTCCCTCTGATAGCACACTGCAGTTGTCGTGGAGATGCCACTCTCAAACTGTTCTATTGAAGCGGGTTTTAGAAGTGGACTTGGACCAAATTCACAGATTGAAGAGTGAGAAAAATAGAAGTGAGAAAGGAGAAGCAGATGAAAAATGCAGTGTCAATGAAATGGAAAACCGCAGCAGACACAGTTATGAAAAACTGGCTGAGAGAAGTCCTACAGAAGCAATGTGGTTACATATCTCTAGGCTGTCTCTTAATGAGAAATTAATGGACAGGAAGTGTAGACTTTTCCTAAGAGGATTCTGACTGCAATTATAAAGTCATCAATTACCAGAGCTCTATATGTTGATGGAGCTGTCTAAGAAACCGATTTCAATCTCAGAATGAATAGGAAAAGAAAAAACGGTGAAACATGTATCCTCTTTAATAATCTCTCACCAGAGTGGTCAACATCAGGTTGATTTGACCAGAATAGGAAGGTTTTGTTTATCGCTTCCTGACACTTAATTCCTTGGTAAGAGGCAATGTGTGCAGTCCTGAGTCATGATATGATGGCTGGTGCTGCTCAGATGTAGGCAGGTCTGCTGAACTGCTTTCACCTTTGAGCTCCACCAATCAGCAGCAGAGCTTCAGGGGCAAACTTTGCCCTGAGTGGTTAATTCAGTAAGCAGGGGCCCCGGCTTCCAGTCTGCTGCTGTAAGGCCTGCAGACGGGGTTTATAAACTGATCTCAAGCCGGTGGTATGCTCAAATAATATTGCATTGCGTCTTATCCTTATCCCGTTCCTATTGTTGGTTTGTTTTTCAATCAGTCATTAAACACCAAATGTTTACTTTGACGACACTGACTGCTCCACTAGTTTCAGAACAAATACAGTGAGTTTTCTAGTTACCGGATGAACTGTTTCAATAAGATAAGACAGGTATTGGACAATTAACACGAACGCCGAGGTTCAAAGTGGTTTTAAAAAAAGCAAGGTTTGTTTAGTTATTTTTAAATTCAAGTAAAGCATCTTTCAAATACTTTCAAGGTACCTACATGAAGTGCAAGCCATGTTTATTCCAGATTACTGCCTTCAAAATCCTGGCACACAAAGCTAAGCTGCATCTCAAATTAATCTAAAGGTTCCCAGCTTCAGGCGATGCTCACCACTTCAACATAGCATTTACTGTGGACCTGCTATCTCTCCCTACATATCCCGTTCCCCCATATAACAAAAAGGTAGTCTTTGGTAAAAAAAAAAAAAAAGGGAAGAGTTAAAGAGGTTGACTTGTGTCTAACCTATCTAAAATTCACTCAAATAGTGGCATAGGAAGAAAGTGGGTGATGTCCCTGCCAAACAGAGCTTCACCATCACCTCATCCTCCCTGAGAGAGAGCTG